CTCCGGTATGACATATGTGTGTATCTAAAGATACAGATGTCTCTGGTATGACATATTTGTATATTTAACGATACAGACGTCTCCTGTAAAGCATATGTATATCTAAATCTACAGATGTGTCGAATACGACAAGATTGTCCGGTGTCATATATATATATATATATGTGTGTGTGTGTGTGTGTGTGTCTAAAGATACAGAGGTGTTTAATTGTAACCTACATATGAATGTAGTAAATCAGTAGGAAAAGAAACGAGTTTATAATTTGACAGTAATCGAGTCTCGTGGGATCGTGAAATGAATTAATCAAATGAAAACAATTAATTGTTAACAGTTCAAATTCGTGTCAAAATTCAGTTCATGTTTTATTGTTGCTTGAAAATGTACAGCGTAACATGTTGAAATATCATTTTTAATGAAAAACACAAACGAAAATTAATAAGATAAACCATTTATTTTCAAGTATTTACACAGATAATAATCTATACTGCATAACTGGATTTCACACACGCACATATATAAAGAAACAGCTGTTCTAATACAGAGAAAAATTAAAAACCATCGAAATTATAAAAAAAAGAACAAAAAACTGATTCATAAACAGTTTAAATGTTTACAAAACAAAAACATTATATAATTATATTTTGTAAGTTACTTGATGACCTCTGGTGGCATTCAGATATTCACAGACACTCGTGTCAATTTATTTTCCAGCTTCACCTTCTGTATAAATAATCAAATAATTACCTTTATTTTTGATATGCATTAATACAGTTAGAAGTTTACGTGCGTGTCTATAAGCTATTTTTCTTTCATAAAAATTTGCCCCCTAGTGGCTTAGCGGTAAGTCTGCGGACTTGTAAAATCTGGAATCCGATTCCCCGCGGTGGACAGAACTGAGATAGCCCAGTGTTGACCATTGCGCTAAAAGACCCAACTACTTAAAATTTTGAATCAGGCTTAACTTAAGGAAAGTATGGATAAAAGTCGTCATTATTGTATTTTATTATTTAAAACTATCACGAACAAAGAACATTAATGACAGCAATAATTCCCGATAAAGCTTGTCATACACTAAATATCTCTCTAGCTTTTGCGCCTTCATATTTTATCTCATTCAGTACTAATTTTTTCATTCCGAAAGAGTTATTTTTAATAAAACTTGTATATATATCCAAACATACATTCGCTGATATCATTTTGCTATATGTTCGTTTAAAATTTTAAGACGGCACAAACAGTTAAAAGATGATATGATTGTTGACGGATAATTTTGGAAAAGTTAATCTAACACTAATAACAAATACTTGTCTTTTCTTCTGTGAGGAAAAAACAAGTACCCGAAGAAAATCTCGATTTCTGATATGTTTTGAAAGTGGACTAATTTCCACATTCTTTTTTGCTTAAAAGCAGAATTCTTTTATTTAAGAATTGCTTGCAGAGGTTGTTAAATGTAAGTAAGTATATATATATATGCATCAGATCTATATACGTAACGAGCCAAGAGAAATATGTTTAAAATAGAGTACTTGTTAATGATTTATAAAATGTTTTCTAAATTTAATTTTATTGCTTACCGGAAAGAAATAAGATTCTGAAAACGGACTTGGCTTAAAGACTACTAAATGTTAATTGATATTAGTTATAGTAATCTCCTTTTTTTAGAATAGGCTTAATTGCCTGAATACGTTAGGCTTAGCTCATATAATAGGCCTTGTAAAGCTAAAGATACAAGCCGAATTAAAATCACACCACTAATATCTTCAAGAGTTATAAAAGCCATTATTTGTGGATATAGACTAAGCTAGTTTTCATTTTGAACTACAAATCGTGCTTCTAATAAAGTTGAAAAAGTGAGAGATACGTCAAACTGATATGTATGTATATGACGCTATGCTTTCTACATCATAAACTCGGAGGATGCATATAATGATGTTATACAAGGTATATTTGAATGCATTATATTTATATCGCTTAAAAATCATCCACTTAGTTCTAGAACAGCAAGGCGTTTGGCTCGTACTTAGGGAAGTCTAATTGACTCAAGGGCATATCGCCTGATCAGACGTTTCATTAGTGTACAATTATTCCAAGTATAATTGTTTTGTAATTAAATTAATGCGTTTTAAATACAATTAGATGATCATCTATGTCTTGTAGATATTTACGCATACCTACTTTTTAATGGAGATCTATCATAGTTTTTAGCTAATTTTATATTTCATATATACCTACCTGTGAATATCAGTACTCTGGTCGGGTAAACATGTTTCTGCTCAACGCCATCTGGTAGAAGTTTGAACAACTGTGTATATTATATTCTTTAACTTTTATCTAACATTTCAGGGATTTTCAAGAATTAGAAGAGTCTATAATCATGCTTGGAAAATGTGTTCACACCATAAAAAATGTTACTCTAAAACAGTGTTCCTACCATTATTGTGTTTGTTGTGTCTGATGAGCTCTGGGTTGAGCGAAAAGTGTCATCGACAATGGATATACAAACATAGTGTGGTTGGAATGCTGTTATTATAGTCTAATTCTTGAAAATTTCTAAGGGGCTACGTAAAGAATGCAAAGTTCAAAAATATAATAGGCCTAGCGGTAATGTCTTATGACAAGTATGATTAATTATAACCATGCTTTGCAGCTTGGAAAAGTGGAACTATTGTTCCTAACAGTATTATACTTGGTAACCAAAAATCAGCTTGAAACACATTAGATTTAATAATCTACATGTTTGTTGGAGAGATGAAATTTTTAAAGTACAGAATCAAAAGTAGATTCGATAATAATAATAGTGATAATAATAAAAGACAAGATGGTGGACCCTGTCGTCACAAACACACACACACACACACATGTTGATATTATAAAAGCAAGAAATTTATACCCCGAAGATTTACCATTTTACGTCAGTGTGATGTTCTTCTGATTGATTCATTTACCAAATGTTGTACGGTGATTGGTCAAAGCAAGTATCGGTGCTTCTTTAGAATCGACCCTAAACTTCATTTGGTAAAACAAGTAAATTAAAGGCTTGACTTCTCTTGCTTTCAGACACTTCACTGGAATCCTTAACAAGGACAAAGTTTCGAGCTGTTTCTCTGTAACTCCGATTGAAACTTTGAACCACCTCTCCGTAACCAGAGTTATGGGCTACTTCTCAGTAACCCTAAAGGCTAAAGTATTGAATCACCGCTCTTGTAAACATAGCTGTGGATGACTACTCTGTAACCTAGAGTAAGGCAAAAGCTTTGATTAACCACTCTGTAACAAAGTATTGAATCACCTCTTTGTAACCAAACCTTTGGGTCATTTCTCTGTAATTCTGAGCAAGTCCAAAGCTTTGAATGAACCCCCTGTAACCATGAACAAGTCCAAAGCTTTGAATGAACCCTCTGTAACCCTGAGCAAGACCGAAGCTTTGAATCACTTCTCTGTAACTCTGAAACAAACATCAAAAATCTGTGTTGTGGCCTGGTTTCTTTTTTGTCTCCAGTCAGTATCAACACCTGCAGAAATTTTACAAATCATCACAGAAGCATATGCAGTTATGTCACACCAGAAAGTAAATGCTATCAGTTCATTTATTTCGACTTTAATTATAAAGGAATATTTTTGTTATACAAATCAATATTGATGTTGCACTGACATCCTTAAAAGGGAGATTTCACACATTGGCAAGACTCCATTAGTCGCCCTAATGACAATAGAAAATATCACGAGTTTTGGTAATCAGGGCCTGGGATTAAACAATATAAATATACAGCCTCGTTTACAGAGGGGACCTGGTATGGCCTGGTGGTTAGAGGAGCTCGACTCGCATTCCGAGGGTCACAAGTTCGAATCTCTGTCACCGAACACGCTGGTCCTATATGGTTGCTGCCCGACACTAAAATAGTTGGTTTTAAAGTCGTTATACGGAGTAGAATAAGCCTCGTTTACAGTAACAGATACGTGATTCGTTACATACATACGTCCAATATAAATATGGCTACTTCTCATAAAGAACTAACTGTAGTAATAATTGTTCATGTTCTGAGACATGGGAGCTCTTGGATATGTGTCACTGTCTTGTCTTCTCATTGTAGACCTACTTTCGCGCCGTGCTTCTACACCCGGTCTATCAGTATTATCTAAATGTTCTAGGTCAGAAATATATTCGTCAAATGACGTGGGAAGGGGTTCGCTGATGTTTAAGTTGGCTTTCTTCCTTTCTTTTTTCTTTTGAGCATATAATCGGATAGATAGAACCAGGAAGAAGACGACCAATCCGGCACCGAGACTGAGCGTCAGGTAAAGAATACACTTTTCTTTGTTTTCTGTGAAAGAAGAGTAAATTAACAGAGTGTAGAATATAGAATAAAGGTAGAAGAAAAAGTAACACATTAAGATAGTATAGAATATATAATAAAGGTAGAAGAAAAAGTAACATATTAAGATAGTATAGAATATAGAATAAAGGTAGAAGAAAAAGTAACACATTAAGATAGTATAGAATATACAATAAAGGTAGAAGAAAAAGTAACACATTAAAATAGTATAGAATATAGAATAAAGGTAGAAGAAAAAGTAACACATTAAGATAGTATAGAATATAGAATAAAGGTAGAAGAAAAAGTAACACATTAAGATAGTATTGAATATAGAATAAAGGTAGAAGATAAAAACAAAAACAAAACAGCAAGCTAAATACGAATGTGGGTATTTTTTGTTGAAAGATTAAAACAAGGTAATATCAACAAAGCAAATAAATCAACTGTTAGGAGTAAAACATGCTGGTAAAACGCGCCATCTTGTGGTGAGAATGCTAGTTATAAACACTTGGATGATTTTGGTTCATAATTCAGTTCTATTAATAAAATTTGTACAAATAACATTTATTTACTTTTCATGTTTCATTATGAATGCTTCTCTTCTCTTATTGGTTTACGAAATTTAGAACAACAAACTACAGATCACACAAAAGAAGTCTACTAAAAAATAAGTTTTGTCTAACCATTTAGGAGAACTGTCATGGTTCGATTGTCCTGTAAAAGCAAAGAGAAGCCAGAAAACCACACATGAAATACATTTTTAAAAAGAAAGTGAGTTAACAACTATTTCCGTCTCTGCATTTTGTTAAGTACTGGAAGCAGTGACATTTGAGTTGGTTGTGTAATGGAAAAATTACCAGACAGGAAGTAGACGAGGAAATTATAATGAGTTTTGAGTTGGTCAAATTAATGAAAACTACTAGACAGGAAGTGAACGAGGAAATTATAATCAGTTTTGAGTTGGTCAAGTTAATTAAAACTACTAGACAGGAAGTAAACGAGGAAATTATAATCAGTTTTGAGTTGGTCAAGTTTATTAAAACTACTAGACAGTAAATGAACGAGGAAATTATAATCAGCTTTGAGTTGGTGAAATTAACGAAAACTACTAGACAGGAAGTGAACGAGGAAATTATAATCAGTTTTGAGTTGGTGAAATTAATTAAAACTACTAGACAGGAAGTGAACGAGGAAATTCTCAGTTTTGAGTTGGTCAAGTTAATTAAAACTACCAGACCGGAAATGAACGAGGAAATTATAATCAGTTTTAAGTTGGTCAAGTTAATTAAAACTACTAGACAGGAAGTAAACGAGGAAATTATAATCAGTTTTGAGTCGGTCAAGTTAATTAAAACTACTAGACAGGAAGTGAACGAGGAAATTATAATCAGTTTGAGTTGGTGAAATTAACGAAAACTACTAGACAGGAAGTGAACGAGGAAATTATAATCAGTTTTGAGTTGGTCAAGTTTATTAAAACTACTAGACAGGACATGAACGAGGAAATTATAATCAGTTTTGAGTTAGACATATTAATAAAAACTACTAGACAGGAAGTAGGCGAGGAAATTATAATCAGTTTTGAGTTGGTGAAATTAACGAAAACTACTAGACAGGAAGTGAACGAGGAAATTATAATCAGTTTTGAGTTGGTCAAGTTAATTAAAACTACTAGATAGGAAGTACACGTGGAAATTATAATCAGTTTTTAGTTGGTGAAATTAATTAAAACTACTAGACAGGAAGTGAACGAGGAAATTATCAGTTTTGAGTTGGTCAAGTTAATTAAAACTACTAGACAGGAAGTAAACGAGGAAATTATAATCAGTTTTGAGTTGGTCAAGTTAATTAAAACTACTAGATAGGAAGTACACGAGGAAATTATAATCAGTTTTGAGTTAGACATATTAATAAAAACTACTAGACAGGAAGTAGGCGAGGAAATTATAATCACTTTTGAATTGGTCAAATTAATGAAAAACTACTAGAGAGGAAGTAGATGAGGAAATTATAGTCAAGGATTTTGTAAGAAAAGTCATGCATCTTAAACTATTTGGATAGTTTCTATTTTTATGAAACTGACAGAATGATTGAAAAGTAACTTCCTAAAAAGTTTATAACAGCCCAGAGAGCTGGCTAAATCCCAACTTTACTAAGCCTACTTTAATATCAGACAGAACTTTATTTTAAATATCAACTCCCCACCTTTTAAGAACTTGTATGCCGCAATCCACTCGGTAAGGAAGCCCACAACCTTTTGGTCCCCTTCAATAACAGTGCAGTTACTAGTAGTGTCATCTCCGTCCATATTCTCGCCACCTTGAACAACTGGCTGGTCAACAACTGAAAGTTGGAATGAAATTATATATATATATATATATCACATATTCATATATAGTACGTATGCTATAATCCATTGTATAGATCTATGTATGTGTGTGTTACAATAAATTAAAAACAATATTTATCATAAGCGACCAAAAAACCCCAACATACTTGAAAAGTTTACACATAGAATGACCGAGTAACGAAGCTTGTTTCACTTGAAGGAAAGGGATGATAAGCAGCTCATGTATCAAACTTCTGGAATATTCTAGCTCATTATCTTCTCTGTGTCCTCCTACCGATGTTTGCCACAATGTCGAATTAAATGTCATAAAAATTGAATGAAGGAACTAAACTTTTTTTTTTGTTTTGTAGCCGATTAGATATACATTATTTCATATTATGGTTTTTCCATCAACACCCTTCAAGTGTTTTCACGTGTAATACACACGTGTGTAAATCTATGAATATGTGTGTATTATATACAAAACCCGAAATTATATTAACTACAAACTGACACGAGAGATAAATCGGTATTTGAGGATTTTGAAACTAAATAAATAAAATGTATCGTATCTGCAAACTGCGGCATCCATAATTTTTCTCCTACTAACAAACAGTATTAGAGCGTAGTAGTTTAAGATCATTGACACAAGTTAAAGAACGTAACTTAACAAACGAATTCTTGGAAGCTACCTTTGATATATTCTTGTATCAGCTTCCACAGACGTTCACTTATTACCTAGTAAAACCATTCTCTCAAGTGTCTTATCTTAAACACCACCACTCGTATGCAATTTCCTACAACAACCGTTATAGTAAATAACGTTAGTTGTCAGAAATCGTTCACCAGGACATAACGGTTGTTGTCAGAAATCGTTCACCCGGCCATAACGGTTGTTGTCAGTAATCGTTCACCAGGACATAACGGTTGTTGTCAGAAATCGTTCACCAGGACGGTAGATAATTTCTGACAA